AAAGCGGGAAAAGGATGTAATATTAATTGTCATCCAGATAATAATGATTGTAATAATCCACCATAATAGAAAAGTATATTTAAATATAAAATTTTGTTCCATCTCAAATTTAATAAAGATATATGCGTATCTTACGCATCCCTGTTAGCAAATATTGATGCACATTACCACACGTGACTTTGAATATTGACGAAAATATGTTTGCTTCAGACCAAACATATGTAGCTATGAGTAGGGCCCCCCTCATAGAACCAATCAGATATCCATTCGTTTGATATAAATTCCATCAAGGTCGATAAAAATGTCTCAGACGAATATAAATGATTAAACAAAATATCTCGAAACGGTTTAAAAACAATTCGTTAATAAAAAAAAAAAAAAAAAAAATTATAATAAGCTCACATCACGTATCACGACATATCACAGCATCCGAAATCCGATCCTAAAAGATTACCGTGTCTATACCGCGTTGAATAGTTTATTTTACTAGAAAATCTAGAAAAATACCAAGTCAATGCCGAGTCAATACCGCGAAATTGCGTAATACTATCTCCCGCCTAACAGAATAAAAAAAGAAAATGGATTAGTGGATGCAAAGTTTTATCTCGGATATTGCTATTTAAATGGAATTGGAACAGAGATTAATAAAGAAATGGGATACAAGTTATATAATGAAGCTACTGGAATCCGTCAACCTGTTAACTTTGTTAACGGGTTTTTACCAAGAAAAAAAATCACATACGTGTTACTTTTGCTCGGCAAAATATTTAGGTTATTTCGGCTGATCGTTAACCAAGTTAACAGTTTTACTAAGAAAAAAACACATGATGTAATTTGCGAGACGAACCGTCCTATGAAAATTGCTAAGAATTTTTATTAATACACTCTAATAAAAAATACATGCATGAAATCAAATACTACTCTGAATTTTTAGGAGTCGAAACAGTTATAGCCATTTCGCCAGAACTGTGTTCACTATCTCCAAAATCAGAATCATATAATATTTTATGAATTGTACATGCGACAGCTGTTCTTAAAGTTATTAAAGCGTGTATAAGTGGATAAACAGCGCTTGGTGAAGTTGTGTGTAATGGAATTGTTGCCTTCTCTATTGGACAATACTTGTAGATACCCGATTCTTTTTGCATGGCATAAAGTTCTATAACATCGCCTGCGACGTTGATGCTAAATATAGATAACACCTGTCTCTTTGATGATTTATTAAATATCCTTTTAAGCTTCGATATAATTCTAGTAGTATCAATAGAATCTTTGGAAAATCATACTAATTTTTTATGATCTCGCTGGCACTTGTCTTGACTAGAATTTGGTCTACCAGTTTCGAGGTATACTATTTCAAGTTCTACACCTTTTCCTAACTGCATTACAGTCATATAATCTGGTTTTCGTGCATATTTGCGAGATCCTTTTCTTATAATACTAGCCGAACTCCCCTCTTCGCCCCTATTTGAAAAATTATATTAATTATGTAATGAGTGAATAATGTAATAGAAAAATAGGTATTTTCATACATAGCGCCTTCGGCAAGCTTACCATATATTCCATACAATAGGATTTCCAGGTAAATCACTCATCACTATGTTTATTAGTGGCGCAAGTACTTCGCAAACATATGATCCTTCATTAACCGGTTTCCCTTTCTTTGTATAGGCGTTATACTTAGGCGATTTCCAAACTTTATTCCTATAAAATATCCCACCCATTCACATTATTCATGAGAAGTAGTATATTAGACGAAACCTCAAACAAAAAATAATAAACTTACAAAGATTCTAGTATTCGTCCCGTCATTTCTTGAAGCTTTTCAGGACTATCTAGCCATTTTCCTAATTCGACATCATGCAAATCTTCATCCAAATTTATCTTCAACTCCTCATTATGGATAAACTCTTTACAAGTATCCATTATCGTACCATTATGATCTAACCTATATTTCTCAAAGGGCTCCTTAAAAACATCGCAAAGTGATCCAGGCATCTCTGTGAAGGGTTCTGATTTAATATCAAGTACTCCAGAGCATATTGGGTGATCAAATCCAAGACTCTCGACATTTACTTTCTCTAATTCCGTTCCAATCCTTTCCCACATAATTTTTTCATAACCGGCACTTTTACTTTTGAGCTGATTAACATCACGTATCAAAAGCTCTAAATTTGCATTCGCATCATCAGACCATGTTTCAGCATCAATCACCAGAGC